ATTTATTAAAAAGATTGCATTCTTGGGGTAAAAATTAAGGGATAAGGGCTGGAAGAGGAGGACAGATTTAAATTAGCCAATGAAGGACCAGTGAGATAGCTCAGTGGACTAAGCACCTGCTTGGACAAGTACAGGGACAAACAGGGGTTTGTCCCCCTGTTCCACATGCTGTGCCAGCCCTGCCCCTGGGGCACACTGAGCCAGTGACCAAGTCCAAACATGGTGGCACAGTAATCCCAGTGCTGGGGAGGCTGAAAACAGAAGGATCACTAGGAGCTCAAGCTGTGTAGTGAGACCCTATACCAAATACATAAATGAAAACAAGTAAGTAAGCCAACAGGATGGAAATCAGAGGTGGGGTAGGTGACAATTGAGATGCACATTCTTTGTGTGGGAGTAACTGATAATTGACATAGAGGTGACCTCCCCTAAAGGAGTGATCAAATCACAAATTGGCAAGAAGCAGCATTACTTTATAGGTGGTTCAAAATGTTTTCATTTATTAAAAAGATTGCAATCCCAAACACAAATTCCAGCTCCCTGGAGAGTGCTTGTGTAGAGAAAAAGCACATGACTGCTGCGGTAACTCCTCTCCCTCCACCCAGCCTGGTCCTTTGTGCAACGCCTTCTGTGGGCTTCCCACAGCTCTGTGCCTCAGTAAGTCACGGCCCATAATCTCCCTCTCATAAAGCAGCGGGACACCCACACAGCTACTTCCTTCCTACCCCTTTCTTTCCTATAGACATTTTAATATATTAAGCATTAAAATAGCATTCTGCCATCACTAGATCTTTTAGTATCTACATTGCCACAAAATAGCGACCTAGCAAAATGCTCAACAACTCTTTGCCTTAATAAATTCTTCTAGAAGTCAGCGCATACCATCCACACTGCTGCACAAGCCTCTATTGTCCTCTATGCCCTTGAAGTCTAAAAATGCCATTCAATCCCTACTCCATTCAACACAGTGTTGTGCGAAGTACTGTGATAAGTATCTAGGACATAGTGTGTCCGACGCCTGAGCCTAACCAGTACGAGGGGCACAGGAAGTGAGCGACTTTGTGAACATACTGTCCAGTGAGATGGGGTGACTATGGGGAAGTGGGAGCCAAGAAGGCACTAAGTATTTGGAGTTTGGCAAAAGAGCAGGAAATGTATTCATGCAAAGAGAGAGAAAGGTGGAGAAGCCAAGTTATTCAAAGACTCAAGAAGTTAGTTGTGTGCATTTGAAATGCCAGCCCATTTTTTTCAAGAAAAAAAAAAAACATGAAAACAAAAAACAAACAGAAAAATGGGATTCTTTGCTGAAATATGCAATGAAAGGCTAGTGAAGGGAGATTCTATGGTAGATGGTGAAAGAGCTAAAGGATCAGCCCAACCCGGAAACACTAGCTGTGTGCTAGCTTAACTCTAAGGCTAACACACATTGAGCTAAGCAATGAGGACACAAAGAAAAATGGAACTGTGGCCCTGTACTTAAAGGAGTCCACAGCCAGAAACATCAACTTGGCTTTCATGAGAAAAGACAGAAGATAAACGTAAGTTTTATAAGATGTGTTCTCCTTTAATAAATATGTGGAGGGAATATATTTGCAACAAAATATCTCACCAAAACTCACATAGGCAGAGGGGGCAGGAGGTGAAATGAGACTATGACACAGGGCCCAGGAGCAGCCTGTGAGGGGGCAGGGTGCACAGGCAAGAAGGGAAGTGTGTTTCTTGTCTGGATTACATTTAGCCAAAATTAACTAGTCCTCGGTCACATAGCACAGGTTGGTTAGCCCTTTAAGATGCTGCACTGGAAACTGAATGCGTTAAAAGCATAAACCCTGACTCAAAGGCCACAGAATGCTGCTTATCATAAAGCCCAAGGTCAATGTTGGCCCCTCTGTGACAGAACAGAAGCAGGGTTTGCTTCCTGGCTGGAAGGACACTCTCGCCTACTGGGTGATGGCTCGCTGTTCGGGCTTTGGGGACAAGCACTCAGACTTGAGCATAAAGGTTGCCTTCTCTAAGGGACCCATAGGACGTCTCCTCGTTTGTTACATAACCACGGTTGTCACCAAATATATTTTCAATTAGAATTCACTGACACTTGTTGCCTGCCAACTGCTGGGTATCACTACTGAATAAAACATTTATCTTTAAACATCCATGAACACATTTAAATTACTTCAAATATTTTGTTCTGCTATGTGTTTTGTGTCAGTTCTTACTGAAATAACTGTCCATTTGTAATACAGCTAACTTTATGGAAACACAGTCAAATGTACTCTGTTTTATTTATTTATTTTTTATTTTTTATTTTTTGCTCCGAATGCCCTCAGGGGTGGTTTGGCAGGCTGGAGTGTTGTGGGGATTGAACTACAGCAACCTGAGGCTGAAAGCTTTGCCGAAGCAGCCACTTAAAGAACTGAGCTAGGGCCAGGCCCCTTGTACTCTGTTTTAGCAGGTCTATAAAAACTGTATTTGTAGTACCGGGTGGAATTTTGCCATATTAATCATTTTTGCAGCATTTTATTTTATTGTATGAACATAAAGACAGATACTAGCATATTTCTTTTTAGCTACTTTTCTCAGGGTTAACAGAATATTGCCACAAGAAACATTACAATACCTGACTTGAAATTATGCTATAAAGCTACTGCGATAAAATCAGAAGGGTATTGGCAAAAAGAAATAGACCTGAAGATCAGTGGAACAGATTAGGAAAGCAGACACAACCAGAAACACACTCAGCTACCTTATCTTTGACAAAGGTGCCAAACATGTTCACTGGAATAAAGACAGCCTCTTTAATAAATGGTGCTGGAAAAACAAGTTCTCTATATGCCTAAGACTAAAGCTAGACCCATGTCTACTGCCATGCGCTAAACTAAAGTCAAAACGCATCAAAGATCTAAATATTAAAACAGAAACAATCTACTGGAAGAGAAAAAAGGTAGAAATCTTGAAGACAAAGAAGTAGATAGAAACTTCATAAACAAAACCCAAGCTACATGGGAAACACTTCAAGAATCCACAACTGGGATCTCATCTTATCTATTTTATTATGTTTTAATGTATTTGGTATAGGGACTCACTACACAGCTTAGACTCATAGTGATGGGATCTCATCTTATTAAAAAGCTTCTGCACATCAAAAGAAATTACTAACAGACTCAAAAGACAACCACCAAATCAGAAAAAAAAAGAAAAAAATTATAGCTAGCTGTCTCTGAGACAAAGGACTTAATCTAAAACATACAAAGAATTAAAAAATCACAAACCCAAATTCAAAGGCCCAATCCAAAAAATGGGCATCTGAGCTGAGGAAATACAAATGGCAAATAAATATGTGTAAAGATGTTCAACATCTTTGGTCATTCACGGAACATAAATTGAAACAACACTGAGATTTCCTCTCACTCCAGAAAGAATGGCTTTCACCAAGAAATCAATCAATAACAAATGTTGAAGGAATTATGGGGGAAAAGGAACCCTTCTCCACTCTTGGTGGGAATGTAGACTGGCACAACCACTGTGGAAATCCCTGTGTAGATTCCTCAAAAAACTCAGATTAGAAGTCCCATTTGACCCAGCTATTCCCCTTCTGGGTATTTTCCCAGAAGAATTCAAAGTATAATATCACAGCAATACACATGAACCCATGTTTATAACAGCACAATTTAACCTAGGTAGTTCTTGGAAACAATGCAAATGCCCATCAACTGAGGAATGGATAAGAAAGACGTGGTATTTCCATTCAAGGCAGTACTACTCAGCTATAGTGATAAAATTGAGATGTTTATATGGAAATGGATACAACTTGAGACCATATTCATAAGTGGCATGAATCAGACTTGTATGTGTAAACATCCTACTGTCTCCCTAATGTAAGAAGTTGAAAGAGTAAATAAGATCCAAAATGGAAAATAAATATTGTGAAATGGGAAGAAACTGAGAGAAACTGGGATAGGGGAAAGGAGAAAAGAAGAACTGGAAAAGGAAAAAATAATCACATGAGATGGGTAAGATAGTTACTAAGTGCTTTTAGTACATTGAATGAAGAGGAGCAGAAGGAAGATGATAAGGTGGGAGGAGGAGGACAAAGAAGAGGAGAAGTAATAGTTTAGTCTATGTTTGATAGGCTTAAAACCAGGAACAGCATGGCAGGAGGGTCCAGGCTGAGAAAGCTGCTCATGTTGTGGACCAAGAAGCAGAGGGTGAAGGGCAGCAGGGAAGGGAGATGCACCCTTCCAGGCCATGGCCCCAGGGACTGCCTCTAAGCAGTCTTACCCCTAACAGCAAGTTGCTGTAGTGAGCCGTTAATTTAACTAGCTTCCCAAAGCCCCATGAGCTCATGAGATCCAAACCATAGCACATCCATACATCATGGTTTGTGCCTGGAGGTCCCCCCAGAGCCTCACGCAGTTATGGAGGATGGGCTTTTCAGGGGGGTAGAATCTAGAGTTTGTGACTGACTCGTGGTTTAAGGCTGGGCTTAAGGGTGTGAGTGTTACACCAGGCTGGTTGGTAACCTGCATACAATGTATGGAACAGAAGGAGGCTTGTCTTGCTCTTGCTTGTTGCTTTTGCTGTCTTCCTCCACCATGAACTATTGCCCCTCTGCCAAGTGCCAACCTACCTTGGAGCCAGCCAGTTACAAATCTCTCCTCTCTTTAAGCATTGGGCATTCTGTCTCAGTAAGGAGACAAAAGACAACATACATAGAAAAAAGTTTAGAAGAATGGCCTTTAGCATTTCTGTTAAAGCTTTGTCTCTTTATCTGAATTTTGTAATTTTTATATAATAAATATGGATGGCTTTTATAGTGACATGTTCATTCATTATCATTCAAATAATGGCTGAAAAGCTTCTCTTCTACCTGTGCTGCCTCTAGACTCATAGACTTGGAACTAACTTTGCATGCTCAGGTCAATCTGGTAACCGCAGTCCCCCCCAAATACAGGCCTCCTAACTCAGCTGTCCATGCCCACACGAGCGAAGATCCTGCTCACCAAACTGTCCCGTACACAAGGTGTGTCCAGGAACCTCCGGAACCCGTTCTCTACTGCGACTCCCAGCCAGTTGAGTGCTGCCCAGCACCAGAGGTAGTCATAGCCGCCATGCCAGTAGCTCACAAAGGCAAATGTCATTGCAGTGGAAAGCAGAGTCCCCAGCAGGCCATGCTGGGACCCACCCAGAGGAATGTACACGTACCTAGAGAAAGAAGAGGCTGTCAGAGTCATGCTGAGGGGTGCATCTATAGCCCTACTCAGATCCTGGGCTGGTTCTGCCATACATAGTGCTGTTCATGGCACACAGACCCTGCCCTACCTCCAAGAGGCTATAGACTGACCACTCTTGGGATTCTTCCTCAAGTGAGGAGTTGGCAAAAACCCAAGCCTCCACACTTACTCTAGCAAGATAGTACTTATAAACAAGATGTGTAATGAATTTAGTTTCTCAAAGGGATATGCCCAACCCTGGAAACCCAACCATGGAACAGCAATTAAACTGCTGGCTACGTGGGGATGTTAACTTTCAAAGCACATATGTACTTTCTAGCTCAAACTATTAAGTTTATGATTATCTATCCATTATTTAAGCATAATTGTTAAAATCAGGGCCTTATGTAGCAGGAGCTGCATACAGAACAGAGGTGCCCAGGTCAGTTCCAGATCCTTCCAGGCCAAGTGGCCCAGAAGGAGCAGATAATCTGCACGTAAAGAGCAGAGTTCTGTGCTCACAGGGCAGCCAACTTACCACCCAAATGCACAGCCACCTTGGGTATGCTCTGCACACCAAGACAACTGTCCGGCACATGGCAGGACCATGTTCTCTCACTGGACCTTTCTGCTGCTGGTGTTGGACATGATAGCTCGTGGCCTGAGCCATCACAGCCTGGACAGCTAGCTGCATAACACTCTGTAGCTGCTTTTATAATAAAGCGCATAAGAAAGCTTGTATATTTCTGATTAGAGCTTCTTTGTCCAACCTTCCTCTAGGAAAGAAAGTCATCAATCTAAACATGATGCTAAATCTTCATGTGGCCTCTTTTTTTTTTTCCTGTATTTTAGGGAAGAGTCTACAGGATATTCAGGGTCTCACTACTGGATCGGACTCAGGGATCCTCCTGTTTACAGCCTCCCAAGAGCTGGGATTACAGGCACATGCCACCACACCCAGTCTCAATTGCCATCTCAGTGAGCCCTGTGGGTGGGGCTGGCACAGCAGGCCCGGAGATCGAACCTCTGGCCCCTGAGCCTGCTTGCAGGCACTTCAATCCCCTGAGGTATTTGGCTGGTCCCATGTGGCCTTTTGTTAGACTCTTTGCATCACTACCTGGTTTACACCTGCCATCCCAGCATGTCAAATACCTTTAGCAAAAGTCATTTTTCAATGGAACCATTTATAGAAACGCAAGCCAATTTTTTTTTTTTTTTTTTGGCAAGAGGTACAAATAATCCTTTTTATTTCCAGTAAGAAGAGTCTATGTCCACACCACATTATGTGTACCTGATCTCTTCTGATTTTGGAAGCTAGGAAAGGTCATCCCTGGTTAGTACTTGGATGGGAGAAAGGAAAAGATATCATATGAAGAATGTTGGGAAGGTGCAAGAAATAAAATAATTTTAAAATATCCATGAGCTCCTAGAACACCTGATAGGACATATTTCAGTTCATTCAGGGTGCCCATATTTACCATGTGAAATCCTGAGCTCTTTTAGGACTGTGACCCTCCAGTTCAGAATTCTATCACAGGTCCTTATCAGTGTATATACATAAAGTTAGCTGTTCTCATAAACAGCATCATTGCATTCAGAAAATAAAAGCCTACTAATCCTACAAACTCTTGTATTAGTCTTTCCCATTATTGCATCTCTTCTTTCTTCAAATTGAAAAACATTTCTCCACTTCTCTTTTCATTCCCTTAAGAGACACATGCACAAATAGATTTATCATGAATGAAGAATTATTAAATAAAGCAAACCCTAATTTCAAAACCTATCAACAGTGCTTCAAAACCTGCCTCTCAGAGCCATAAAAAATAAAGTGGGATGAATATACTGTGGACTGAGAAGAAGGAGAAAGGTTTCACAAAAGTTAGTCTTGGGGCTGGGGACATATCTAAGCACATAGCACCTGCCTGGCAAGTACAAGGTCCTGAATTCAATTTCATATATATATATATATATATATATATATATATATATATATATATATATATATCTTCTTTTTTTCATAATTTTATTGATAAACAAATAGCAATGAGACAGTTTCAAATCAAATCAAAATATTTTTAAATAAAACTTATCAATCCACACAGAAATATCAAAATATTATAAAATGATAATTGTTTTTATTTGAAATAGATTTTAACTGACACATAAAAATTATATATATCCATGGGGTACCATATGATGTTTCAATACGTGTATATACGATATGATGTTATCAGCCTCCTCCAGATAACATTTAGTGATTTATTTATGATGAATTTCTGCAGTCTCTGCTTCCAGCTTTGTGAAGTGTGTACGCACTAGGGTCATCTATGTCACCCTGGTATGCAACAGCACAGCAGAACCTCTTACTTCTTCTATGACTACAATGGTTTCTAGACGTCCTCTGTGACAAAGTCTCTGTCCCTGACTCAGCTCCAGGCCAGCTCCTGTGAGCGCTCTAGAGCCTGCTTTCCAGGCCCTCACCATGCAGTTGTAGTAAGGATCCCACTCTTAGTGTAGGGCTACCCCACACGCAATATCTGAGCGCCCTGGATATCTGGCCAAATTTCTTACTCCACCCTGGGGATCAAAGCAAGCAGCATCCCCCTGTGTCCCAACAGTTCCTATGAATAATTTTCTATCCAATGACCCCTATCTACCCTGTTTCTTGGCTGTATCCTATTTGTCCATGCTGGATTCAGAACCGAGCCCAAGCCTATACTGAGCTTTCTTCTCCCCAGTGGAAATCATTTCTCCATGAAATTTGCTTTCATCACTTCAACTACTGTCTAGGTTTGTTCTTTCTTTAATGCTCTTCGTCCTCAGGTATATTCCAGTTTGGATCACAAATTGAAATAATTGGCTTGGATAACTCCATTTGACAGTTAAGAAAACTGAGGCTGAGAAGTTAATTTGTTCAAGATATACAGCTGGGAAAGGAAAGGACCAAAATACAAGTCTGTATCTGTGGCACCAAAATTAATGCTTCCTATCACACCTAGGTGTTAGTTATGAAAGCCATCTCTTTCTCTGACACCAGAAATAAATGAAGCAGCAAGTAAGTAGAACAGAGACAGTACTTTTTGTACCGAACAGTATTCCCTCCACAGTCAACTTAGCAGTAGTCAGCAAGCCCTGGTGGTCTTATTAAGGGACACTCTCGCTGCTGTCTAGCCTGCAGGGAGGCCTTCTGGGCAAGCTGGCTTCAGGAAACACAGACATAAAGGGCTGTTCCTGCCATGAAGACAGCAGACCTGGCTGAGCAAAGGCAGCAAATGAGTCCAGCTCTCAAGCCGGGATGTGGTGAGACCAGGACGGTTTAACAGTGGGGGAAGGAGACGGGACCAGTGGAGGCCGGTGGGCTGGCACAGACCTAGAGGACAAGGCTATCTGGGAAAAGGGGCGAAGGCTGTGTGCTGTGTGCACCCAGGGCATACAACCAGGTGGGTGAAGAGGGGAGAAGCCTGAGGCCTGAGGAACCGGTCTCCACTGGTGTTCTGCTGCCCCCTGGAGGATGTGCTGTTATTGGCGCTCAATAACTTTGGTGGAGGGGGTGTTGACAAAGCTGTGCTGCCTCCTACATGCGTAGTGAGTCCACTGCCTGTCGTGATGCCACCTTCGCTCCATGATGCAAGCTTGCAGGTAAGGACAAAACAAATGGTGACCGTTTTCAAGCATAGAAGAAATGACTATGGTCTAAAGAGACTTCAAATAACTGTTACAAAATAAGCGATCTATTTTTCTCTTCCCTGTTTTCATGTTCAGGTTTTTTTTTTACTATATGTACTTCTTAAAAGTGAGCAGTACTGTGTATGCCGGAAACTCTGGCACAGAGCAAGTTCTCCTGCTCCACACCAGAGGTTCCTGATGCTGGACTCAGCTCCAAAGGGATGCATCTGGATTCTGATGCGGAAGTGTCTAGCCCACGATCACATGTGTGGCTATTTTAGGCAGCTCTGGAACCATGGCTCTGCTGCTTCTCCCTCAAAATGACAGCTGACAAAAATCTCTGAGAAGTCCCTTTACTCCAGAAATGCAGAGATGGCAAGTCTCCAAGGACATGGGCCTTGTTTCACACCACAAAGGGAATGGTTTCCAAAGTGGAAGATAAAATCTCTACTTTTAATTTCTAGAAGGCAGTGGGAATGGTAAGGAAAGAGGACAGGTGATTTTTCTTTTACAAATTCAACCAGTCCTGAGTCAGCTCCATGATTAATAAAATTGAAACATGTCTGTTTTAGAAAAGCGATCACATGACCCCACTTACTGTGATGTACTGTGCAATGAAATTGATTTTTCTCTGCAGGAATGCAGCCACCCTCCACCCCCCAGCAATGCAAAATCAAAAGATTTCTTCCAGTCAGGGCCTGGCCTGGCCTCCTGCTGTGGCCACTGCCACTGATGTCCTGGAGGAGGGCGCAGCCACCTTCTTGATTCAAAAGCATCTCACAGAATCATTTCAACCTCACAAAGCCCCAACTCAGGAAGAAGATGCTATACAAAATGTAGGTGGTAGTGAGTGATTATGTTCACCTTTATTGAGCACCCATGCCCCAGGTTCTCGTGTATCCTTTCCTTTCTCTCCTTCCCCTCCCTCCCTTCTCCTCCTTTTCTCCTCCTCTTCTCTCTCTTTCCACTTTTCTCTTTTATTTTTTTTTTGGGGGGGGGCAGGAATGCAGGGATTCAGACTATGTCTCCAGCTCTTATTTTGTAAAAGTTTGTCTTTGAGACATTATCTCACTAAGTTGCCCAGGATGGGCTCAAATTTGCAAACCTCCTGCCTCCCAGAGTGATGGGGTTACAGGTGTGTGCCTCCACGCCCAGACTTATGTATACCATTTCTAATCATTAAAACAACCTATACAGAATAAACACTAGGCTTATTTTATCCAGGAGAGGTAAAACTTGATCCCTGAATGTTCTATTCTGCCATTTACCACAATGGGAGCACTTCTTCCTAGTAAGGGTTCTTCTTACTTCATGAAATCTTCAAAT